CCATGGTTTCCGCAACCCGGAAGTGCTGTGGGGGAGAGGCCGGCGCTCAGCCCGGGCCGTGGCGGTAGCCCCCGGCCCCAAGTCGGGCGCCATGGGGCGAGGTGGCCTCTGTCGCCCTGCCACCCCCTAAAGCCTCCCCGCCATCCTCCCGCCATGGCCCAGGAGGCCGGCGAGGCGGCCGCGGAGGGGGAGCTGGTAAGGAGCGGACGGCGGGGGGGAGAAGGAGGCCCTGGGCCCGGCAAACGCTCCCGCCTGCCTGCGGGGCTGGGACAAAGCTTGGATGCCAGACTGGCGAGGTGGTGACTAGGAGCGGGAGAAGGACAGCTCCGTCCAGCCGCGGGGTTCTGGGTTCTGCCTTTATCTCCTTGGCTGGCCGGTAGCGCGGGGCGGGGAGTAAGGGGGGTGTTAGCGTTCGTTTCCTCCCCCTCACAGCCAGATGGAGATTTTGTGGTCCTTTGCTGGGACCCACCATGTTCTCTTGGCTGTTGTAGGTAGTCCATGTTGGGCCTGTTTTGTAAGAGTAAAGGGGATTGTGGGGATTGGGGTTTTTTGTTACCGCACGTTTATATCCTGGTTAATATTTTGTTGTTTACCATCTCCCATCAAGACTGGGCACCTTCCACATGCTCCTATTCTTAATGCAATAACTGCAGTTAGGTAGAGAGATCTCCCAAAGCGATAAACAAGCCTTAAAAGAACAAAAAATGATCAGTGTGCTGCAAGGAACATTGCCTCAGGAAATTAAAAACTATATGGCATGGTTTGTGAGATGTGTACCTGCTTGCTCTCAGCTAGCACACAAAGCTGTTTTACCTGCTCTGTTGTCGATTCCAGCTCCTGTTCTATCAGCCAGGGTTCTCAAAAGTACTTCACCCAGCCCTGCCTCTTACAGAGACAGATCAGCATCTTCCCAAAGAATGGTGCTGCAGCTGTGAGTGCCGTGGAGTCAGCAGCAAGTTAAAATGTTCTGTCTGTGAGGGCAGCATACATTCAGATAATTTGAAAGCAAAGTGGAAATTGTTGTTTTTCTGTGGATTTGCTTACATTTGAAGAGCAGGGAAACTTGTCAGCTCAATCTGCGGAAAAGTTAACCACTTCTTTGATTCCTTGGTTTAGGGTTTTTTTCTCAGCCTGATCACTTCTCAAGTTGAGTTTACTGAATGTTCCCAAAGTATAGCAAGGGTAGGAACAAGCGAATGAGGAAGGAGACATGCGGATGAGTTGCTGCTTAACTCTTACTGGTGGAGAAATTAATGCAGAACCAGCACCACGGAAGATGGGGCACCTGAGGCTTCAGCTGCTGTAATGCTGTGCACTGAAGTGCATAACTCTCTGGCTGAAGTCTGAAGTGACTTGTGCTATATCACGCAGAACATTTGTGTAAGAGCAAATGATGCTGATTTTTGCAACAGTGATGACACATTTACCATTTTAATTTATTGCACTCGAACTTTGATGTGATAGTAAAAGGATATAAAGTTTTTTGGATGTGTATTATAACCAATTACTTCTGGCAAATGTCACAGTTAATGTCTCTGTTTCCCAGGGAGATGACAGCCTGTCTGTGATAACCTGTGAATCGGATACAGAAATGGTGAGCTTTATTAATGGCATGCTATGGACAAAAGCCTTAAAAGGCCTCAGCATGTTCTTGCACACACAACATCCACATGATGCCTCCTGGTTGATAAGACACCCTTCAGCAAGGAGAGCTAACAATGCTATTGCAATGTAGCTTGATTCAAAAACCTCCTCTAATTCCAGATGTAATTCTGCCTTCTAAATTCTTAGCACTGAGTGCTCCAAATGATGTTTGGCTTCATTTCGCTGCTCTGTCGAGTTTTGGGCCTAAGTAATCATTTTACAGAATGAGTCTTTCCTGTAGCTAAATGGTTGTGCAGATCATCCTCTACTCTGTGACCATCTTGAGTTTGCTGCTACTTATATTTATACTGGGGAAGGTCTTAGTGTTCTGAGCATGAATATACCACTTCATAGCATAAGACTTGAGTAAGCGCCACCTTAATTCTGGTGACTCTTGCTGTGGCCAAATTTGCATATACTTCATGCTACTGTTTTTTATTTTCTACACAGAAGATTTTGTTTTATTAGAACGCAAGCTCTTCATACAAAATAGAGATTGAAGTAAATTTTGAGATTATATGCTGAAATCTTTGAAAATTCTTATTCTCTTCCAGAATTTAAAGAAGAAAATTTTTCACAAGCCTCCAAAGTCACCAAGTAAGTGTTCAGAATTTTTTTATTCTGCCTCTGTTATTGCACAATAAGATAGATTTTGTGGGTCACAGGAACTGAAAGATGTATTTGAAACAACATATTATCTTCAGGATTATTCACTGGTGTGTGCAGAGCACATCTATCTGAGAGTTGTTGTGTAACCAGTGATTTTAGGCTTTTATAGTCTAAATATTGAATTTTATGGCTTAATTGTAATTCTTGATTCTTCAGATTCTCCAAATAGCATAAGCTATTTTCTTTTCATGTTATCCCTCCTAATGGCAAACATTCTGAATTTCTTTTTCTATTAATCATTTTGGAGAAATGCTGATAATTGCTATGTAGAAAGAATTGAGCCACAGAAATGATCAGAGGGCTAGAGCACCCCTCCTATGAAGACAGGCTGAGAGAGGTGGTGTTGTTCAGCCTGAAGAAGAGAAGGCTGCAGGGAGACCTTATAGCTGCCTTACAGTACCTGAAGGGGCCTACAAGAAAGCTGGGGAGTGATTGTTTGCAAAGGCGTGTAGCGATAGGATGAGGGGCAGTAGTTTTAAACAAGACCAGAGTAGATTTAGATTAAACATTAGGAAGAAGTTCTTTACCTTAAAGGTGGTGAAACAGGTTGACCAGAGAGGTGGTAGAGGCCCCATCCCTGGAGACATTCAAGGTCAGGCTTGATGGGGCTCTGAGCAACCTGATCTAGTTAAAGATGTCCCTGCTCACTGCAGGGGAGTGGACTAGATGATCTTTAAACATTCCTTCCAACACAACACATTCTATGATAATCTAGAATTACTGGAGCTACCTACCATCCAGTAGATGTCTATGACCTTGAGCTTTTTAGGGCAATGCTGAGGTATTTTCCTTTCTTTTAGAGTCTCCATACAGCTCTAGCACGCAACTGTATCCTAAAAAAGCTGCAGTTTGGCGATCTGTGCAGGGAACAGGCAGTGCACGTCTTGAGAGTGCAGCTGTAAAAAACCCAAGACAGATGTGGCTGGGATCACTAAAACAAGGTATTACTATAGCTACTTTATCTGTGTATGTGGATAAAATTCAGTGTTGTGGGCATATAAACATATATAAACTTTTAAAAAATAGATTTGCATTTGATTATAGTCTACATAGGAAGCAATTTCACTATTATTTATTTGGGTGGTTGGAATTGAGTTTGAATTATCTGATCTTGAGTATTGGAATTTATAGAGGGAATAATTAACAGCATCTGGAGCTTTCTGTGTTGCATTTGCTCCGAATAAATCCACAAATGTAATTCACAATTATGTCTGATTTTTGCGTTTTTGTTCCATTTTTGTTGGCAGGAATGAACCGTCCTCTGAAATCAGACGTTGACATGGGGTATACGCGAACTAACATTTCTAGTAGCACTCCAGAATATTTGAAGGAAGCTCTAGGAATGAAGAAGCCAAAGCATTCTCGTTCTAGTAATGGTAAACTGTGTAATTGTGTGGTAGATAGAAGTTAATGATCTTTTTTTTAATCTGTGTAGAAACACACATTGCTTAAAATCTTAGCTTTAGTAAAGCAAGAGCCATTTTGGTTTAACCTGTATTAAAATATGTATGTTGAAATATGATCCACTTTTTGAGATTCCTAAATTGGGTAAGACAGGGGTTTCCAGATTTTTTTTGAGCAATGAACCACTATTAGCTTTCAGAACTTTTTGCAAATTGCCATGCATTTGCAGCTGAAAACGTTGCAAATATAAGATGGTTCAATGGGCCAGCTGTAGCCAATTTATTGTGACTTTGCAAAACATAGTTTAGGAACCATTGATAGAAACCATCTGCTTGCCTGAGATTCTATGTAATTGACTCCTTTTACTTATCTAGAAAGTGTTTTATCATGTGGTTGTGCAAGTTTTATGAGAAGAGCAAAATTTAAAACTTTAATCCTGCTTTTCTTAAAGGAGAACTGTAAACTTAAAAATCCCACTTCCATTTAAAATGATACCTATACTGTAACTGATACTACAGATTTTCTGGCAACTTTAAAAGATTATAGACTTTTACATGTTAGGCATAAATAGAAAAATGTATTCTGGACATCTAGAAATCCTTTGTAAATAATTGATGTGTTGGGATGAGAAGACTGCAGTCTTCTGTGAGATGTATTTCTTTCTTGAGATGGATATTTTAATCTAGCATCAGAGAGAAGTAATTAGGAGAAACTTGCTGTAAAATTTGGCAGAAGTTTCATACAGTAACATCCAAATTTCATCTCCATTTCTAAAATTAATTTCTGTGCCGATTTTCTTAAAAAAAAAAAGAAGCAGCTTAGTTTCCAGTTTGGTGGTGTTCTAGATATTTTCCTTTAATTGTAAAGTTTCTTGTTGGCTAAAAATACCTCTTTTGGATTTGCTTATTTTACGTACCTTTTTCTGTAGGCTACATTCCCGGAACTCCTGACTACAAAGAAAAAGAAGATATGTATGATGAAATTATAGAACTGAAAAAGGTACATTCTCTCTGATGCCTACATAGAAAGTCGTAAGGTCACTTTATCCATCCCTAGATGTCCAGGCCTTGTTGGTTCAGAATACTTTGGTTTCTACAACTGGGACATCCATCAATTTTTTCTGCATTTGTAATGTAAGGTTAAACTAAACTTGTGTCTGTTTAAGGCGATTTCATTGTTCTTATGGTGTGATAGATACTTCTGAGTACTGGATGTGGAAGCCTTGAGGTATGCCCAGTCCTGAACCCCAGCCATGGCCCTAGCTGGATGCTGAAAAGTTTCAGTGCGTTTGGTTTCTTTGGCCCTCCATCTCCTTTTTTCTTTTTTCTTCTGTTTTCTTTTTTTTTTTTTTTTTTAAACCTTCTCACTGTTACCCACCATATTTTAATAATTTGTATTTCTCAGTTGAGTTTAGTTCAGCGTATGAAAAAGGAGGACTGGACATCTTTGACACTAAGGATACCTCTAGACAAATATCTTGGCTGTTGTAGATAATTTGTGTAAGGTAGCCTTTCTGTTAGACCTTCTTCTTTTATCTTTGCCCTGTAACCTGCCTTATCTGTCAGCCCTGTGTCAGGTCCAGTGTGATGGTATCTTTTTTTTTTTTGTTTTGCTTCATCCTGACCATCGTAATTGGATTGTTATTGACATCAAAACATATTTCCATATGAAAACTCAGTGTATTCTATTTCTGAAATTTGCTTACGATTTTTCTCCCCTCCTTTAGACAATACAAGCTCAGAAAAATGAGGGAGATCGAATGAAAACTAAGCTCCGTCGACTAGAAGAAGAGAACAATAGAAAGAATAAACAGATTGAACAACTGTTGGATCCTTCCAGGGTGACTATTTCTTGAGGGATAAAAGTGGGGCAAGAGACTGCCGCGCAGTGTGATCCTCTTCTCTGTGTGTCTCCGGATCTCAGGAGTCTGTAGTGTGTTGACTCCTAGTAATGATGAGGTTGAGTATGAGAAGTGGTTGGTTGGTGTGAAGGGATTTCTGGCTTGTGTATCTCAGCTCACGATTCCCCATTCATCATTCACCATTCATCAGTTCAAAGGAAGATAGTGACATGCTCTGCTGATAACTTTATTTAGCAAAGATACTTTTAATTTCTGAAAGGTAAAATTAAAATGCTGTCTCTTTAGATGCCTACTTTCTGAATATTTTGCCTGAGAGTAGAAGGGAATTAACCTCTTGCTTCGTGACTGATCCATGTGGTCCCAAGACCTGAACAGGAGACCAAAGATGAGCCTTATTGTCAGACCTACAAGGCTGAGAAGCATTTAGGGTCATAGTGAGAACTGAATTTCACTGAATTCCTTGTGGCTGTCATTTTCTGTGTGCAGATCTACATCTTGGGAGAAGTGTGCTAATACAAAACAATGAGCATAAGGACTTCAGAATTTAAGCTGTTGGACTGTGAAATGACTGTGGAGATGAATAGGTTAGAAAATTCTGTGGAAAGAGCTGGCAGTAGAATGAAGTAGCAAGGTTGGTCGCTTGCTTTATCTGTCTTTTCTTTCAGGGCTCAGAGCTGGCACGAGCTTTGTCAGAAAAGACAACTGATAATGGATGGGTAATAGTTTCTTTATTACCTTTTGCTTTCTACTTTTGTTTTTAACTCTTGTCAAGCTGAAACATTACTGATTGACAAAATAAAATGAAGTAAGAAAGAATAAGCAGTTAGGGAATCATGTGACCAGTATTTCTATAGTAAGATAAGAAACCAGTAACAAAGATTTAGAGTTAATATTATTTTAGGGAGCCTTCTTTGTCACTGTCTTGAATCTGTTTAGGGGAGTATTCTTCGTGTTATTTGTTGCTTTGAATTTAGCAGGATAATGGGTAGAGTTGTTTTTATTTAATGATTGTGCATAAATATTTTCAAGCTGGTTATATTACCACAGATATAAGTTAGGGATCTGATGTATGTAGTCATAAATATATCTGTTTAGGTACAATTTATAATGACAGTGCAAGATAATGGAGAAATAAACTTCTGTGAAGAGACATTATTCTAGGACTCATGAGTTCTTTGTCCTTTCTGTAGGTGGCTAGTGGATTAAAGCAGAAGATTCTCAAGCTAGAAGCACAGTGCAAGGAGAAAGACAACACTATTAAGTATGACTTTGGGGGTAGAGGCTTGTATTGGATGAGATAGTAAAGGGAATTGGAAATTTATGTTATTTTTCATCCGTATTCTTCTGTTCCTTAAGATGTTTTAATGAACCCTGAGAACATATTAGCAATTACTAAACTACCCACCCAGAAATTGTAAACCAAGAGGTATCGCAGTGTCTTTGCTAGTCTGACTGGCTTATTTTTTGTATTATTCTATTTTCAGCAAATTCCAGGCAGACATGAAGACCACTAATTTGGAAGAAATGAGGATAACGATGGAAACCTACTATGAAGAGGTACGCCTGACAGGTCCTTCAATGTGTGTACAGGAGAGGAAGTTTAGATAGGTTTCTTACAACTTAGCTGCACCTGGCATTGGAATCAGATGTTCATTTTCTCATAGTTCCAACCTTTTTCTTCCATAGGTGGAGTGTGTTAACCAAAAAGGGGAAACAAAGAAACTATTACATCCATAAGTGTAGTGTCCAGATGAAAGTCAGTATGACAGTAGCCTGATTTTCAGTAATGGCATCGTTGCCTCTGCTGCTACCCAAAAAGTCTGGTTCTGATTTTCACCTGAAGGACAAAAGTGTTGCATTAGCAATGTCAGCTTCCACAGCTAGCTCCTTAATGGGATCTATATTTCATATTTCACAGGTTCATCGTCTCCAACTCCTCCTGGCAAAATCTGAGAGTATGAGGAAAAAGTATGTTTCCTTCTTTTGAGGCAAATGTTTGCGTATGTGTGTTTGATATATCACGCATGTTAATTTAACTGATGAAAAAAAAGTACATGGGAACAGTTCATTTTGTCATTTAGACTGCTGGATTTGCTTTTTGGTACTGCTTTGGTTGGCTTCACAGCTTTGGCATATATCTTAGTCACGTTTCTTTTTCTTGTAGATAGATCGTTTTGTGGATGTGGAAAAAACACTAGAGCTATTTAAAAAGAACATGAAAGCTCTGAAAATTTATCTCTGTTAAATCTTGGTGACTGAAACAAATTCACTAGATTTTTGGCATCTTACTCTTGAGATAGTTCTGCATCTTGCTGTAGGGCATATGCAATAAAGATGGTATTTTAGAGTAAAAGTTATTTTCCTGTGTTAGAGAGACAGATCCGCAGGTCAGGGTAGCTTTTAGTGAGATATCCATTGAGTGGCACTGGTAAGACACCATCAGAGAAGCTTATACTAGTGCTTATCACTGGTGTGTGTGTGCATACATGGTGGTATGGGTAAACGGTCTATAGAGGAAATAAAAATTAAAGGCAAAAGACAAAGCTTCAGTAAGAGAACAAAGTAAAAGCATCTTTGCAAGTGAGCGTTAGTCTAGCTGAGGTCTTGTGGCATAGGAAAATTTGTTACCACACCACTTCAAAATATGCTTGCCCTCCTAGTGTTAAGTATAGGGAACTATCTTAATTTTGGATGTAATTAAGTTGATATAAACATACAAGAACTCTTTGTGGGTCATTATGTATACTACTTGTGTTTCCCTAATTCATTGTCTCTTGTGGATTGAAAACTGCAATTTGTTTTGTCACTGTTTTAAAAAAATAATTCATCTCTTTTGGCTGAGGCATGCAGTGACTAGCCTCTTGAGGCTGTGAGCCATCACACCCAATTTATTTACAGGTGAAAATGAGTCATTAGGTCTCTTCCATGTCCTCGTTTATTCATAGCTTCTGAAAAACAGTGGTCAGGACAGTCTCTCTCCATTATGTGACTGTCAGTCTCTACTTGAGAGGCTGAGCACTGAAATAATAAATTATGTTGGAGGTCAGGGCTCTGGCACATGGAAAGAGTTGTAGGAGAGTGTTTCTTTTATGATGCTTGTCTACATTATTTCTGGCTGAATTGAATGACATTTAGCTCCTATTTTTCAGTGTTAATGCTGGAATATGATTATCTGTAGTATCCGATTGTAGCTAGAAACTAGGCAATCCCCGAGTCCTCAAAATGGTCTGCAGTTCTTTCATTTAAGTTTTGATGAGCCTAAAATAACAGTGATACAGTTATGATTCTTGTAATTTCTGTCACTTCTGGTTTTGGTGGTGCCTTGTGTTTTATTTTATACTTTTTTTCCTCCTGCCTGGGACAGCTGTATGAATTGTCATCCACAACATCTGGACAGCCTTATTTGTTTGTTTTTATGGCTTCTTTTCCTTTTAACTTCCAAAAGGTAGATTAGATTCAGCTTTTCACTCTGATTATGTGAATTGTATCCTGCCTCCTCCCTTACCTTGTAATTGTTGCAGTGAATGGGAAGTAAGATTCCTTCACAAACTTTTCTGTGATTGTTATGGGCAGTGTGTTTGTCCAAAAGTAGATCCATCAGTTACTTCAGGGCTTTGATTCCAGAAGTAAGTTTTTAAGAATTTTCTCATAGCAATAAAGAACCTGTGTTTTATCTCACTAGAAATCTGTTTTATGAACAAACTTCATAACTTTGCACATCTAGAAGCTGAGATTTCTTCCCCCTTATATTAGAAAAATTAAAAAGGCAAAATAACTGTATTGTATTTTAAAGAGTTTTAACGCACAGCAGGCTTTCCTTTTTCTGATGCCTTTTATTCTCATCGCATTAAAGTTAGCTTTATTCTTCAAATCTGTTTCAAATTCCTCATTGATTGAAATATATCATAAAGGAAGAAAGACATTTCTCTGGGGTTTACTTTCACAGGATTAGTTTATTTTACATTAGAGCAGCATTCAGAGTTATCTGAAAATACACTTGTGTGTTGGGTTAGAGAGATATTCTGTCTATGTATAGCCCTCTCTCTCTCTCTCTCCCAGTCTCAATCTATTTGTTAAGTGAAAGAAAGCAATTCAGAGCACGCAGGTTAGCTTTCTGTGCTGAACAGGTTTTTTGCAGGAGTCTCCCAGTTGGCTGAAGATAAGTGTTTTTAAATCAGAGGTCCGTAGAGCACTGCTAAAACATTATAAGGTTGGTTAACCAAACAAATAGAAAACCAAATAAGTAGAACTCATACAAGCACCCTTGTTTATGTGTTAATGAAACAGAGTAGGGGAAGAAATAAAAGTAATTAATGAACTTTCAGAGTTTCAAAGTATCTTCTTTCTTTGATGCAAATTAAAACAATTGTGAAGGTGTCGAGCAACGTGGTCTTTGCATGTTTTTTCATAGAATAGGTAAACTCCTCAAGTGAAAAATATTTAGAAATGCTACTGGGGGGAGCTGAGACAGTTAATTTAGTCAGCTGAATTTAACAGTGAGGCTGTTCTACTCTTTTTAATGCTGCTTCTTTGCTCTCTGCTTTTAAGTTAACTTTCTGGTTTTGACTTTGTTTCCAAGGACAGAGGGCAGAGATACCCAAAAACGATTAAAAGCACTGAATGCTGCTGTCCTGAGATTATCCAGGAACATCGAGGAATTGCAGAATGAGAATCGAAGGCTGAAAGAAGACCTAGATCATGTACTGAGCAGTTCTCCTTCTCCTTCCAATAAAACAAAAAGTATGTGCTGGAAAGTTGGTGAACATGGGGCAAGGGATTTAAGTACATTTCAAAGATGTGTTTGAGAGCAAGACTCTACAATGGTAGAAATAAGGGACTTACTACAAAGGTGAAGATTCAGGAAGGCAAAGGTTGAAATGAGAAGTTTCTTACAGAAGTCTCTCTCTGACTTCTGTTTATGCTGCTTCAGTCAGACCTGGATTTCCTTTATTATTATCCCTGAGAATTTGGGACTGGAATCACTTAAAGATTTGATGTTCCACTGGAAGTCTGTTTTTCAGTTGTTGAAAACTGAGGAATGTGCATGGTTTATGTAGATTTCTGAGCTAATTTGTAGAAGTCAGATAGTTTAAAACCATTTTCATTTTTTCATTGCTAGATATTTAAAGTTGGAATTCAGAGGTCTTTAGACAGTCTTTATCAGGAAGTTTCAAAAAAGCGAGAACAATGTTGACTCACTGATACAGTTCTATGTTTAAAGCTTTGTTACTGTATTTAGATTATAGTGAGTGGAGCAGACAGAGGCTGGTGAGGCGGATTTTGGAACTAGAAAAAGTAAGTGATCATAATGATGTGGCCATCTTACCTGTCTTTGAGCAGAAAATGCAGAAGCGCTGGCTTGTGCTCATGGCATGTAGTGCTTCAGTGTATCAGCCTCGTGCATTCTGGCTCACATGTAAACTGCTGTCTGTACCATGTTGCCTTCCTCCTTTTTTTTCCTTTCTCATACTTGTTATGTATATACATGTAAACTGCTGTCTGTACCATGTTCCCTTCCTCCTTTTTTTTTCCTTTCTCATACTTGTTATGTATAGATGCACATTTTAGAATTAACTTCCATTTGATCTTTTCTCGTGGCCTAAATAAAGTAATTTTATGCTAAATTTAACTTTCTTCTTCTTTTTCCTTTTGTATTTTTTGTGTAAATTTCTCCTGTTCAGAAAGTGTGTGCCTTGGAGAACACCAGAGTGTCATCAGCAGATAGTGAGCCATCACAGTTACCTGCCGTGCCATCTTCGCCTTCAGTAGACCTGGATCATCCAGCCTCTCAACTGGTAGACCCTGTTGAGGAATGTCATCGCCTTCAAGGGCTAGTGAAGAAACTGAAGAGTGATAGGAAGGCACTTCAAAATCTTCTACTCAATAAAGAGTAAGTATGACTGTTGTCTGAAATGTTGTTCTTTTGTAGGTATGGATTATTTAATTATTTCCTATCACATTATGAAATTACATAATAAGTCCTTCACATTTTCAAGAAGAAAATTATTTTTGAGGGTCCCTTCAGCTTTTAATTCAAAAGCTGCTTCTAGTCCTACTAGCGCTGTGATTATTTATTTATTTCCTATCACATTATGAAATGACATTATGAAAGGACTTATCCTTCACATTTTCAGGAAGAAAATTATTTTTGAGGGTCCCTTCAGCTTTTAATTCAAAAGCTGCTTCTAGTCCTACTAGCGCTGTAAAATTATATTGCAGAGAAAAGAGTCAGTGAGAGAGAGAAAATGAGAATTTGTGCTTGGTTCTAACACATTTTTCAAGTCATATTTTTTGACAGCCACACTGAAAAACCTTTGAAGGATTATATGTCACTTTATGCAGCACTCTTGCAAGTGTTTTGCTATAAAAAACTGTTTTCTTTTTTCAGCATATTCTGTCCTAATCCACCACTTTCTCCATTTAAGCCTGCCTTCTGCCATATGATGCACTGTGACCTCTTTTCTCCCCAGTAAGCAATTGATTGGCAATTTGTATTGCTTGGGATCGTTTTGTGTCTCAGTTCATAGGGGCAGGCAGGTTAATCTGATCATGAGCAGAGATGTGCACACAACTATGTGCTGTTGATAAGACGCTGCCTCCTGTGTCCGCTCACCTCTGAACAAAAATACGTAGTGAGAGCACGTGAGCATGTTTTGCTTCTGAACAGTGTATGCTTGCATTTTATTTTGTTTAAAAGGAAAAATTAAACATCTAGTTACTTTACAAATTTGAGAAACCCTATTTTATTTAGAAGTGTAAACAAAAAAATAACTACATTGTTGAAGTATTTCAACATTACATTGTTTTAAGTATTGCTTAGATTTTCTTACATCTTTGCAGATTAGATATGAAGCAGTTACTGCAGGCTAAGGCTGAAGTGGAGCTGGAGCTGCAGAAGTGGCAGAATAAGATGGAAGAAAAGAGTAGAGAAGAGCAGACTTTAAGGTATCGTATTTTGTGTTCGTAGATCCTTTCAAAACTGTGAAAATCTGTTAAACTATAATTCTCTTTTGAAGTGGCTCAAAATCCATAGGTGTTCATCTGAACTGCAGAGAGCTAGGAATTCATTTAAGCAGAACTGTTTTGGAGGGATGGAGTAAGTTACTAGGGGAAGAATTCTACAGAGTGGTTTTAGAGGAAGTGAAAGACTAAGAAGTACAGTAAAAATAAGAATTAAATTATAAAAATTAATAAGCTAAATGGAAAAAGAAAGCTGCCATGTTGGGCTCAGACATTTTTTCCTTTCTAAGAAAAAACTGTAGTATCTTTATCTTACCTGAGCCTATGCTTCTGGACCATTGCCAAAATGTCATGCCATGTACTTCATGTATTCTTTGTAACTGTTGATAATAATCTGTACAAGGGTGGCAAAAAAAAAAAGTATTTTCATTATTGCTTTGTAAGAAAGGTTTCATATTTGTCTGTCGCTCATCAGATATAGATATGCATTATTAATAGTGTCAAGGGTACCATTGTAACCTTGGGAGTGTTTGGTGTATTGTTGGAGGGAGGGGTTGTGGTGGGATTTTTTAAAATTATTTTTTATTTATTTCAGTGTAAGGCTGCACTATCACAACTTGAGAATTTATGTTACATGTCTGTTACTATGAGAATATGTATCATCATATCCTGAGGAGTTTCACACTTTGGCCTTTAAAAAAAACAAAGCAACCAAATCTTATCAAATAGGTTCAGTATTTTCAAAGCAGGAATCACAGAAAATTTCTAGCTATGAATATCTTTGCATTTCCAACCATAGTGAGGAAATCCAGAACCTGACACAGAAAGTAGGAAAATTGGAGTCAAAATTGGAGGAAGAGAAGAGACAAATGGCAGAAGATACAATGGAGCAGCTTAATAAGGTACAGACACATTTTTTGGTTTGTGGGGTTTTTTCCCTTGCATCTAACTAATATACTTCAAATTGAACTGATAGTCTAAATGTAGGAAAACTGGAGTCAAAATTGGAGGAAGAGAAGAGTCAAATGGCAGAAGATACAATGGAACAGCTTAATAAGGTACAGACACATTTTTTTGGTTTGTGGGGTTTTTTCCCTTGCATCTAACTAATATACTTCAAATTGAACTGATAGTCTAAATAGCTGCTAGCTGTGTCTTTTCAGAGAGGCATTAAATCTTGTCATAGAGATCCTGAATGATGGTTAATTCCCCGCATTTGTTGAGAAGTTGTTTCAATAATTACCACTGCAACTTGGTTTTTCTTTGGAGCTGTTCTCTTAGTAATTATCTGTCCCACCATCGCTTTTTTCTTATTCAGTAGAATGTTGCAAAAAGCTTACACTTTTAAGTGTTTGGGTTTTTTGCCTTACTTTTTAAGAAAAAAAGATGACATTTATGGTTTTGCTTATATCTTCTTATAACATCTGAACCCATTAGCTAATTTCAGTCCCGTTTTGTAGAGGGAGGGCTGTCTTGTAGGAGTTGACAGTTAGATAAAGGATAGAGGCATAGGTAAGTGTGCTCACTGGCAGATCTGGAAAAAGACAAAACCCACTTCTTGATTATTTTTATGCTGGTCAGGTGATCAGTTAGGGCACATTTGCTGTCCAATCAGATAATACTCATTAGCCTTTCTGTTTGGATAGAAGCAGGGTACTTTTTCATGGGAAGGTTTAGAGGATGTAGAGCGCTAATCATAATGAAAATTGGTAGGTTGTTTTTTTTTTTAATTCCACTGCTAATGGGACAACATATTTGAGTAAATAATTAGGGAATATGTCAGTATGGTAAAATAAACCCTTATCCCCTTTTGAACTGAAATTTTTCTAGAGTTGAGGTATTCATAACCTCTCCTTTCTGGATTTCCAGTATCTGATGAAAGTAATTGTGCATCTGTTAACTCTGGACAGTCTTAAATGGGGCTCTGTAATCAGCTGGGGTTTGTTGTTTGGTTTTTTTTTTGCTGTTAACTATGACAGAACTTGATATCTTTGCAATCATCTGTCCCTCTGCCAAACATTTTAACTGGCCAGTAGAGATGCATGGGGACTGATAGATGTGCTTTCCGATGCAGTGTGGTCATGTTAGTCTCATTTCACTAAAAACTAGTTGGAAATTATTATTGGGGATTTTGATTGTTTGTACTTGAAAATAAATAGATCTTGAAATACAAACAGTGAAAACTATGAATAAAAACGTCCACTAACTTAAGAGGGTGCTGTTTTTTGATATACTGTGCAATTCTTTAGATTCTTTTCTGTCTGTTACAGGCTGATGGATGCTAAATGACGTTTTGAATACCAAGTAACTGGAGTATTTAAAAACAGCTAACAAACAGCTCCTTTTTCCTCTGCAGACTATATATAATCTTGGCCAGTAACCATCCATTTATTGAAATGTTCCCATTACTTGTAATTATCACTAAGTTCCTACCAATTTTTCATTTTAATTCTAGGTTGTCATTTTTAATATAACATGATCCATTTGCTAAACTTAAGCCTGTAACTCAGTGTTTTTAGGTTATAAATAAATCCTTTTCACAGAATCAAGAGGGTTTTTTGAGAGTCTATAAAATCTTTTGTTCCTCTACTTAGAATTTTACAGCAAAAATTAGTCTTAAAAATGCAGTTAGTTTTTGTTTGGCAAGTGAGGTGTGATAATTAGGGATCAAAAGGATCAGGTAGTGAGAGGTGGAATATGCAGCCACACCTCAGAAGAAATAACTGGAACAAAATTGTGGTTTTTTTCCTTGGTTTCTTTCTTTTTCCTCTAATTAATTTCTTCTATCTTGAAGAGTTATGCCAATTTACACAAGCTCTCCATCTTGTCAGTATCACATGATGCCCAACTCAGTAAGCTTAAACAGATGATTATGGGGCCACAGTTGCCAGGATGAGACATAAGAGAGCTCCCCAATTAATTAATACTAATCTTTCCTGGAGAAGAATTGCAAAATATGGTATCCTGACATTTGTTTTCAGTCTGTTGATAACATACAAAGCATTTCTGATCAGCAAAGCAGTGGTTTCTACTGTTGAGCCCTTATTGCTTTAGCAATGCATAAAAAAACAGGAATATGTATAACTGAAAAACTTTCCATTACCATGCTCTGCTAATAGCTAAAATGGGGACAGGAATGGGCTTTAACAGTCATCTAGGCGATGAGTTTGAACATGAGTAGTATTCAGAACAAGGAGTATCCTCTTTAACATCCTTCCTTGCAGGCAGGATGAGCATTTACCAGCTCTGGTGCTGATTTTTCTGAGCCATTTGTAACCCATTACCCTTATAGTATTCCAACTTGTGTCTTTAGTATACTAACAAAGATTCTCCCTTGCAGTCTTCACCAGTGTGCACGGTTAAAGGCAAAGAAGATCACAGGAAGGAACAAGCAGCCAAAATCATCCAGAGACACTGGAAGAGGTACCAAAAGAAGGTGAGAGTCTCCTCTCAGAGAACAGTGAGGACATCCCCCTCTGAATCTTACTCTTGTTTTAGAATCTATGGTAACCTGCTACCAGGATCCAGGGACTGCAGCAGTGCTTCCCAGGACAATTCCTTAGCGCCATCTTCTCTTCCATCAGTTTTTTCAAGTCCTTCCTGCTGCTGCTTTTCCCTTTGCTCCCTAGAACTATGTTGTTTCTGCTGTGAGATAGCTGGTTTCTGACTGGGGGAGTCTGGGTGAGCAGAGAAACTAAGGAAGTGTAGCAGTGTTTGAAGCTGTTGCTTCCTTGGAGTATGACCGAGAAGTTAAATTCCCCTCGCAGAAATCCTCCAAACAATACAGGAATTTTTGTCAATTGAATTAACTCTACTAGGACAATATTATCTAGAAAAAAAGCCTTAACCTTAAATTTTATCCTATGGACAACAACATAATGCTGCTTTTTTCACATATAGGACACATGGTGTGAGGTGGGTCTGGTAAATGCTTCTTAGGAAACTAAAGACAAAAGAACTATGCACACCCCTTTCAAAGATGAAAAGCTTTTCTTTCCTTAAGTTTGTTGTTGAGTTTTCAGGTTGTGGGACAGGTATTTCTGTGTATTTTAATCGTTGTGTAAAATTTGGAAAATCTTTATTAAATAAAACTTGTATATATTTGTGGCATTAACTTAGGCATTTTTCATTTCAGAAAGAAGAAATTGCTCTGGAAGAGGTGAGTGTGTTTATGATACTCAACTAACAATAAAACAGATTTACTTTGTATCAAAGCACAAACAAATAACCTTTTTATTTTTAAAGAGGTTTTCTTGTAATATGAACTGTTGTACCAAGATCATGTTTGTTCTTCAGGCTGGCTCATGACCTACCTTCTGACATCCTGCTTTTGTTTGATACATCTTGTCAATGTTCCCCTTTTGGTCTCAAATTTTCTGTACTTGGTACCTTCTGCAAGATGAACACTTCTGAAAATTTTGAGCAAAGTGTGAAACAGACAGGAAAGTTTGTCTGTATTAGGTAATTCTAATGCTTTTATTTTCACTATGATTGAGTCTTCAGAAAAATTTGAAGTAGTAATTTGAAGCCTTTGCTAAGAAGAAACATCTGAGTATTATGAAGAAATTGACTTTGTTTGACAAACTTGTCACTTTTTGATAAATGTTTTGATTAAACTGGTTTTCAAATAACACAGTATAGCATCTTAGATTTATTTCTTCCACAACACTAGAAAACTTCCATAAATCAGAATGAAATCTAACCATGTGACACAAACATGCTGTTTTACATCTAGATGCTTTTTGTTGATCAGAATCCAGTAAAATTTCTGAGTAGAAAGACTTATGTTCAGTGTAATCACCACAATGGTCTGCCAGACTCGACTTGATTTCTGATTGTACCAGAGCATGAGAGAGTCTGCCAGGTAGGCAGAATCTAACATGGGAATGGGAGCATTTTGCTCTATTTATGAAATACAGGCTGGTGTTGACAGCTAGAATTTAACTGCATTTGATAGGATCAATCATGAATGCTCCCAGATGGAATTTAGTCCTTGGAGGTGGATGTCTATGGATATGTCTGGGGGTTCTCTGGATTGCAGCAGAGTACCTGTGCGTGTATCTCTTAAACATAAGAAAACATGAAGACATAAGAGAGTTTCCTTTGCATAGGGAAAAGTTAGCTTCCCCATGTGCCTCTTTCCTCTGAACCTTTGTTTTAATTTACAACTGCCTTATTTCAAAGCAGCTAACATCTACTTATTTCTTTCCATGCTAGGCAGTTGTTACACTTCAGGCAGCTTTCAGAGGACATTTAGCTCGGCAGAAACTGTTACTGAGTAATGGGATGCATGAAGCAAAATCTCACAAGGTAATTGTTGGGGCAAATGGGTATCCAGACATCCCATTATGTTTCATTTACTCTGTAAGGTACTGTACAGACTTAATTGTCTGAATCATCTGGTGATGTTGTTTTAATGCACTGGTTGGCAGCACCACTGTAATTTCAGAAAGATATTGAGCTCATTCCCTAGCCTTCCTATCTTTAGTTCACAGTTTTTCTTAGAAGTAAAGGTATAACTTCTCTGCGTTATGGACCATATCTAGGTCTTCTCTTTTTTTTTTTCCTTTGTTTTTCTTTTGTTTTCTTCCTGTTTCATGAGCTAATAATGTACCCTTTAACACTTCAATTCAGAGTGCTATTGAAAACTGTACTTGCTCTCAAGTGTTCACTGAATCATGTAGTAGTAGACAAACCTTTGTCACTGAAGTTCAGAAATAAGAATTTGGAAAGCATCTTTGATTGGATTGAAAAGTAAAGGAGTCTAAAGGAGTGGTATGCTCAGCCAAAGACTGACAGTGTCCTCTGTCATCTCAGACTTGCTGCAGATGGCTTGGTTTTGAATATGAAAAAATTTCCTTACAAATTAAATATTTAGATTTTTGTAATAATTTGCCAACTTATATGAACATCCTTTGGACCTTTAACAGGCTGCAGTTAATTTGTAACTCCCCATGCAGGTTGCCCCATCTGGTTGCACTTTATGTGCCCTTTTGTTTCAAATAAACTGGCCCATTTTAGGACTGAATACTTTTGCTTGGTACAAGCGAAATACATATCCATCATGAGGGTTGCCTTACCTTCTCTGACTTCAAAAGGTTTCCTTACTGGAAAATACATGAACTTTCCTTGCAGGTGTCTGCTCTGTCATTAGTTGAATACAGATGCTACAAAGCTTGTATGATGATCAGATTTGCATTT